AAAGTCCAAATGACCCATGACTTAAAATCTGTTAAAGCCACCGATGGGACTGATCAACGGTCTGTGTACTGACCTACGGTCTATCCTGTCAGTCCATCAATCGACTTCAGAGGATTGGTTCTGGCGTCCTGATGGTCTCGACCTACAGATGGATCAACGGTCCGTGGATTGATCCACAATCCGTCTTGTCAGTCCGTTGATCGACTTCAGAGACCAGGTTCTAAAGGGTTTGAAGGGTCTCGACCTACTGACTGAACGATGGTCCGTAGACTGATCCACGATCCGTCCTATCAGTCTGTTGATTCACTTTAGAGAATAGGTTCTGGTGCATCGATCCACGGACTTGGACCACATTCTGTGGTTTGACCTACGGTGAGTGGGTCCACCCGTGGGTCATGCCTAGAATAGTTTTTGTCTAAGTTTCTGGGGAGGGTTGCATATGGCCATCCACGGACCACCAGGATGGGTCGTGGGTCACCCTACGGTCCATGGGTGGCAACCGTGGGTTGCACCTACAACATCTAGAAATCTGTTAGTTCGGTCTATTTTTGGATAGGGGTTGTTACGCCTTGAGTCAAAAGGCAATGAGTATGGGTAGTCTAGCCTTCTTGTTTACTGTAGAGCGGCCTTTAGCTTTATACATTTAGTTCTTAGCTAACTAGATAGTTCGGTTGGATATTTTGATATCTAGGGGTTTTCTAGCCTATGTGGGAGTTTAGTCCTCTCTTCTTGATCAAATATGTAGCCGTCAGTTTGAGGATGAGGCCTTGGTGGCACTTTGAGATCGAGTGTTAGCGAGTGATACTGTTTAGGTTACCTTAGATTCAAATGAGGTATTGAGGTTTACAGGTTGTATTTATGTCTTGTTGCGTGAGCTGTCAGGAGGTGAAGGCCAAATAGTTGGGACCTAGTGGTGAGTTCCAGAGACTACCCATTCCGGAGTAGAAGTAGTATCGCGTCACTATGGACTTTGTGGTAGGTTTGCCTTGGACTTCTAGAGGTATTGACAACATTGGGGTCATCGTTGATTGATTGACCAAATCAGTACACTTCTTCCCCATTTAGTCTTTATTCAATGCCGAGAGGTTAGTCCATATCTACATTCGTGAGGTGGTTCATCTTTATTTTGTGCCAATCTCTATTATATCAGATCGAGGTGCTCAGTTCACTTCTAACTTTTAGAGGACTTTCCAAGATGAGGTGGGCACTCGTATTGACCTTTGCATAGGTTTCCACTCGTAGACTGATGGTCAGTCGGAGTATAATATCCAAATTCTTTACGATATGTTGCAGGCTTGTGTTTTAGAGTTTGGAGGTTACTGGGACCAGTTCTTGCCTTTGGTGGAGTTTGCATACAACAATAGCTACCATACTAGAATGTATATGGCCTTGTTTGAGGTCTTATATTATAGGCGTTGCTGCTCTTCGGTTGGTTGGTTTGAGTCTACATAGCCTAGACCGCATGGTACATACTTGATTCAGGAAGCTTTGGAGCAAGTGAGGGTGATTCAGGATAGACTTTGCACAACTTAGAGTAGGCAAAAGAGTTGTGCTGATCGTAGGCGGCGACTATTGAGGTTTTTCGTTAGTGATAGAGTTTTCATCCGTATGTCTCCCATGAAGGGCATGATGAGATTTGGGAGGTGGGTCAAGCTTAGCCCCACATATATTGCACATTTTGTGATCCTCAAGACAGTTGGAGAGGTTGCATATAAGTTAGCTTTGCGTCTGATATTCTCATCTATCCATCTAGTCTTTCTTGTTTTGATGTTGCGCCAATATTTTCTTGAGGAGTCACATGTGCTTTAATATGATATAGTAGAGTTAGATGATCGTTTGACCTTCGTAGAGGATCTCGTTGCCATGCTTACTAGAGATGAGCGGGTATTGTGTTCGAGAGACAGTCCTGTAGTTAAGGTATGTTGGAGACATCGTCTAGTTGAAGAGGCTACCCTGGAGACCGAGCATGATATGCGGGAGCAATTTCCTCTATGGGGAGATTTTGCAATAAACGATGGCGCCTTTCTTGAAAAGCTGAAAGATGACCAACCTATTCTAGGCTTATGTGATGTGCGATTCTCAATCTATAAAGGTATAGACAACCTCTCCTCTTTTCTGATTGTACAAATTTCAAGTATATTTGTTTATTCCTTGATTAAATATGTTGTTTCCAATGTAGGGACTTTTGGGATATCAACTATACCCGTGAGCAGTGTGTTGATCAATCCAATATTTCAAAAAGCACTAGATCTTCGAGCCTGGTACAAAACCTCATTTACTAAATTGCTCGGCAAAATTAATCTGACCTTACTGCCACAACTTTTGTTCAACGAAGAATATAACAACGGAGCCACAATTTGTTTTTATGGAGAACCATATATAACCAGTCCTATAAAGTTTACATTAAACGCACTAACTTTTCCTCAAATATGTGCAACAGTTAACTCACCTATTTCTATATACAGGCGTGAAGTCATAAAGGCCGGAAAGAAAGCTATCACAACCACACCAAGTAAGGTAATGAGAAAATCCACAGAAGTGACGTTACACAATATTATGGATGGCACACTTGTTGATACACATGTACCTACAAATAGACCCTTTCCCTATCCAAATAGGACCATTTCTTACCAAAAATAATGTTGAATATTGGTTATTAACAATGTCCAGGAAGCTTTATACAAGTTCAAAGCCAATATTCTAGACATACTCAATACAGAAGAGCCACGGTACTCGTCCTGCAAAAAGTGCCACAAGAAAGTGCAAGTTAAACAAGATACAACGACGTGTCCCAATTGCAACATCCAAAATGGGGAGTATGAAATGAGGTTAGACTTGCCTAAAATGTGCAATCAATATTTTCTGATAATATACACCCAGTTTAGCTATGAACTCTAACTTATTCACCATATTTTAAAGATACTCCTTACGACTTGAAGTTTGTGATGAAGAACAACGTTCCCGAGTGACACTATTTGACGCGTCACAAATGTTAGTAAGTTGCAATGTCGAAGACTACATCAAAACAACCTCGGAAAAGGTTTGCCCTGTACTTATACCATCTTACACTATAGTTAAACCTACTTTAATCCAAAAAAGAAAAAAGTGTATGACTAACTTTCAGAATTATTTTTAACCTAATTTATCATATTGTTGACATTTCTTATAGAAGGAATAAAGTATGTACTACAGCAGATTGTCGTTCAGTAAAGACAAGGAATTTAAGTTCCTTGTCCGCATCGATATGAATAATTCGAACCCGTGCAAGAGTGTAATTGCTCAGGAAATACATCCCATTGAAGATGAACCAGTAATTTTAATGGCAAATGAATCAAAATCATAGACACCACCCACAAACAGGGCCAACAAATCCAATGCGCTAGAAAGACATGTTATTGAGGATGAAGCACCAATCATATTGGAAGAAGCACAACCTGTGAGGCCGCGAAGGAAGAGGTGTAAGAAATCCAATGTCATACATGTCCTTGAAGATGAAGCACCACACATAGTGGTGGAAGTACAATCCGTGAGACTGCAAACAAAGAGGGGCAAAAAAACCAATGAGCTAGAAATACATATTGTTGGAGAAGGAGCACCAGACATAGTGGAAGAAGCCCAATTTGTAAGGTCCCAAAGGAAGAGGTGTAACAAATCCAATGTGCTACATGTCCTTGAAGATGAAGCACCACACATAGTGCCGGAGGTACAATCTGTGAGGCTGCGAAGGAAGAGGGCAAAGAAATCCAATGTGCTAGAAATACATTATGTTGGAGAAGAAGCAACAAACATAGTGGAAGGAGTACAATCCGTTATGCCACCAACAAGCCGGAACAAGAAAATCAACGATGAACATCTCCAAATTAAAACTAAGATCAGATCACATAAGTTGACTCATAATGGATGAGTTCCTTGATAGTGTTACCGAGCATTGTGTTTCGTCCCCAAATAATAAAATGTCTACAACATAATGTATGTATGTTAGTAATATATGTATTTTATTGGCTTCATAGCTAATGTATGTATGTTTATTCTTACCTAATTAAATGTGGATTATGGAAATAATAGCACCTTAATAATTAATATCTCAATCACTTGGGTTACTTTTTATATTGTCCTATCTCCCCCTCCAATATAATAACGTATGTTCCTCGATAGTGAAAGGATTATACCATTGACTAAATTAAGAAATTATCACATTATAAATAGTTCTTATAGTTGTGTTAAATGGTATAACATTGAACATACATCAACTAAATTAATAGTTACAAGGCATTTTGGGAGGATGCTTCTCAAAATTCACTATCATGTACACACCAAATAAGCAATTACTAAACCACATATTTCATCATCGAGAGTCCATCAATCTTTTGTACCAAATCACTACAAATATAAAGTGATATAGCGATTTAACTTGATAATACATGTTTACCATCAATAATACGGTTAACGTAATTACACACTTATATAACGACATTGTATAGTTCCAGCACACCCAAATAACCAAAAAAAACCTCAATAAACCAACGGTAAAGTAGTATTACTTTGCAACATGAACTTAGAGAGCCAAAAATATCCGCTACAACTAAAACATCTACCATTGGACGACTAACCTGTTAAAGTAAAGACACTGTCTTATACAGAGAAATATTTATACAAACCAGGTTAACTCTTACGCGAGTAATGTTTGGTCTTACGACTTTACGAACAAACTCAACAACAAAAATACTAAGAAACTACAAATTAACAATTTAAAAAAAAAACACGAAAAGACACGAACCCTTGGGAACACTCATCACCGAAAGAATATTTAAAATAGTAACATCGTCACTACACATTCAAAATTCAAAAACAACAAGTAACATCGTAAAAACAAAAAATAAAATCACTGCACTTAAAAAAAAACTAATATACGGTATATACAAATTACCCTACAAAATAAGAATTTAAATGTATTCCCCTAATACGATGGTACAATTGAAAGATATTCGACGCCGACATTAATGGCACCTCTAGAGCATCACACCTCTCCAGAGAAGTTACAACCTCCTAAAAAGTTACGCCCTCCTGAAAAGTTACAACCAAACCCAAAAGAGGCCAGTTCAAGAAATGCCACCAGTTCGCTAAGGATATCCTTAAAACAAATGTTAATGCACATCAAACTAAAAAAACACAAAAAACTTTGAATAATTTGTAAGATATTGCCACACCATTACAATACTATCGACTACACACATTCATAGTTTCATCCACTATAGACTGTGAGTATCACACCATTCATTTCATAAAAGACTGTTGTCGTTATACATTGCACAACTATCTGTACAACTTCACTAAATTGGGACATCTGCACGATTTTCTAAATTATTGGGGAGAATGGCCAATTCAAACTGCAAATTGTTAGTAACAAATCATTCCTTTTTACCATTGTTGAATCTTCTTACTACTCCGCCTTAGTGAACTTCTCTCAATAATCTCTGAATTGGTATGCGTGTGTTGGGACACTAAAATAACATAAACAAAATACTAGTGTGCACCATAAATAGAAAACAAGCACTCATACCGAGATTTGCTCGGCTAACCTGCGGGCTACTACTTGTTTCACCCTGGTAACCTAAGACAAGGGATACAAAGGAACCTGCACACATGCTTAAGGGATGCACACACAAAAAATAAGAAGAAGATGAAAATACAATAAGTAAATGCTACAAAGAAGACGTCAGTTGAAGATGTTCAACTAACTAAACCAACAATGCTCTGATTGTGGTTAATCATGGCTAAGTTGAATAAATAAATAAAAACATAGATGTTGACGTATGTATGGACTTGTCCTTAACTAAATATGTACATCTATACTCCTACACAATAAAATTACCCCGTACTAGTTGCACACACACGTAAATCAATATTTAGTAAAAAGCTTGTAATGGCAGACCATGATGAAGATGTCCTTTAAAGTATTTCATACTATGTACAATAACTTCAATACGTGGTACAATGTTTACATTGAATGTATTACTTTCATTATTTTATACGTGATTGACTATTTAAGAAAGGAATAGACACAACTGATGCATTTACATAGTCACAATATTCAAACAGGTCAGTCATTACTCAAAGGGAGGATAATCAAACATGAAATACCAATCTAATCAGGGGATCAAAACAACAGGTCAGATATGTATGCCATAAATTTAACTGTTACTTTAGAAAGCAAGACCGTTTAAATGAGAAGTTGGATATATAGAACCAAAGTTGAAGAAACGGAACAAAAGTTGGCTATTTGAAGCTTTATCAGAGGAGAACTATAATGAAGGCAAATTGACTAAAATATAGTAGCCTAAGACTTACAGACCTTTTAGTGGAGTCAACAAAGAAATATTCTATGGTAAAAAGGTTGATTTTGAATTGTGAATGCAGGGGAAACAAATGTGAACTTATCAACAACATCTACTCATAAGCTGCAAAAACAATTGGATTGCATCTACTGTCATGCCAGGAGGCTTGAATATGAGCCTCCAACATTTTGTTGTGCAAGTGGATATATTAAGTTGGCACCCAACGAAGTTGGAGAGGACTTATACAAATTATTTACAGATGAGTCCAAAGAAGCCAAGTTATTTCGAAAACACATTCGAGCCTATAATAGCATCTTTGCTTTTACATCATTTGGAGTACAACTCAACAAAGAACTGGCATCTTCAAGGAAAGGCATTTACAGCTTTAAGGCACAAGGACAAATCTATCACGATCTACCCTCATTAATCTCAAAGGACGAAAGGACACGTTTCTTCCAGCTATACTTCTACGATACAGATCATGAAGTGGCCAATAGAATGTCAATATTACAAGATGCAAATTTATCAGAGGAAGTCATGGAAAAAATCAGGAAAATAATGGAGCAAAATCCGCATGCTGAATTTTTTAGACAACTTAAACACCACTCAAGTTTTCAGAACATAGAAATACGCATAGCTGTAAATGCTTCTTTAGATCAACGGGTGTATAACAAACCTTCGGTGGATCAAGTTGCAACAATTTGGGTTGATGGAAACAATCCAAATATCCCGTTTGAAAGAGATATTGTAGTACACGAACATTCCGGAAAAAAACATCGAGTAAAACATTATTATGGTTGTTATGATCCTCTACAATATCCATTGATTCTACCCAATGGTGAAGGAGGTTGGCATCAAGGAATAGTGAAATCACGCAATCCAAATATCGGCATTACTACAGATGCAACAACAAGTGCCAACATATGCCCTCGATCATATGCTAGTGCAACAGAGGTTTTGAACAATGAAGAACAAGGTTAGCACATTTACATTCTGCATTCATTCAAGTAATTCACACACTACACATAGTATAATAACAAACTCAATTAATATTGCAACTAACAACTTCATATGGAGAGGAAATATATGGCAACAAATATGAAACAACATCAAGATATGTAATGGCGTGAAACATCATATTCCAGTAGGTCTGTGATTAAATTCAATGAAGGTGGAAAATTATCACACATACGTGCAAAAAAAATTCTATTACAATATGTTTGTGAACGTGATATTTTAATCATCTAACATTCATAGAAGGCCACACACTTTCTGATAAACTTATTTAAATTATTTGTAGGTGTACGCCGCGAAACAACAGGTTGTGTTTCCTGCAGAGAGTACTACTGCTATAAACTACAAGTATGAACAAATGAGAAAACAATTTTGTTACTATGTGGTATACTGTTACAACAATTTGTAGTGGATATGTACATCAAATTGGAAACCACACGACTTGAATATTACAGATTCGAACAATCAAAATACAGAAGAGAGATATTACAAGGTATCGTTGATAGTGTTACGGCAGGAGAATGTAGAGGAGAGAAGGTCGGTCAAAGAGTCTTACTGCCAGAATCATTCATAGGAGGCCCTAGGGATACGCGACGACGCTATATGGATGCTATGGCTCTGGTTCAAGAGTTTGGAAGACCAAATCTATTTATCACCATGTCGTGTAACCCTGAATGGATAGAGATTCAAGAGCAACTATGTGTGGGGCAAGTCGCTCAAGATCGGCCAGATTTGGTGACCATAGTGTTTAGAGCAAAATTACAGGACCTAAAAGACCAAATATTTAAAAAGGAAATTTTTGGCCCTAAGACAGCACATGTTTTTGTGATTGAATTCCAGAAGAGAGGACTACCACATATACACCTACTACTAATATTAAAAGAAGGTCACAAAATAAGATCAGCAGATCAGTATGATCGATATATTTCAGCAGAGTTGCCCACAAAGGATAAGCAGCCAGAATTACATGAATTAGAGCCTGTTTGGATGGGCTTTTAAGCTGGTCAAATTGGCTTAAAAGCCAATTTTTGACTTATTAGAGTGTTTGACAATTATCAAAGTGACTTATTTTAAGTCAAAAATGACTTATTTTAAGCCAAAAGCTAAAAGCTAGGTGAGGGGAGCTTTTTTTAAAAAACTTAAAAGCCCTTTTATGTTGACAAGTATATTACCTTTTTGCCCTTAATTCTTTTATACAATTTCCAAATTGCCCATATTGAATTATTATTATTATTATTTTATTTATTTTTATTATTATTATTATTTTATTATTATATTATTATTTTATTATTATTATTATTTTATTATTATCATTATTATTATTATTATTTTATTATTTTATTATTATCATTACTTATGGATGTAAAATATAAACTAATTTTTTTTAAATTTTTTTAAAGTATAAAAACCTTAAATTAATCAACTTTTCATCATGTTAACAACTTAAAGGGTATTTCAGACATTTTGATTTAAAAAGTGTTTACCAGCACTTATTTGCCAAACACATCAACAACTTTTTTTCAACTGCAACACTTTTATCCAAACACATAACTACTTATTTTAAAAATAAGTTCCAGCACTTTAAAAAGTTACTTTTTTTAAGTCAATCCAAACGGGCTCTTAGTTATCAGACATATGATTCACGGGCCTTGTGGGATAAAACGACAATCAAGTCCATGTAGGAAGGACGGACAATGTAAGTTTCACTACCCCCGAGCATTCAACAACAAAACAATACAAGGGAGGGATGGATATTCGATTTACCGAAGAAGAAATGATGGGAGGACAACTGAGGTCCGAGGTATGAAGATGAATAATCAGTGGGTTGTCCCTTATAACCCGTATTTATTGAAGAGATATAATTGTCACATTAATGTAGAGGTTTGCTCAAATGTTAAAGCAATAAAGTACCTCTACAAGTATATATATAAAGGATATGATAAATGTGCAGTTTACATAGAGTCAGACGATGGTGAAAAGTTCATAGATGAAATCCGCAGCTTTCAAGATGCACGTTGGGTGTCACCACCAGAAGTGATGTGGAGGATTTACAAGTTTACTCTAAGCGAAATGCAACCGACTGTTATAAACCTACAACTATATCTACCCGGCAAACAAGTAGGTACTCTTAAACATATTCTCTCAAAGTATAAACAAGAGTCACACTTCTCCAACCAAGACCATTAATATTAATAAGAACCTTATGTTTTAAAATGTAGTCTACTACTTGAAGAAGCAAAATCTTCAAAATATTGCAGGCTCCCAGTTTGTTCAACAAACTATGCTTACTGGGTATTTCAGGATGTGCTTGAATGACACTGAGGCTCGCAATTATCGTTATAGAGAATTCCCCAAGCATTATGTTTGGAATTCCCAATCTAAAATATGGACTAAAAGAAAATCACGCTCTGTGATCAGCAGAATAAATATTGATAAGTATTACACTTCAATATGTGCTATTTATGACTTGTGGTAACTAACTAGGCTGCTCGATATCACAGCTAATCCTAGAGAAGGTGAAAGGTATTACGAGAGATTATTATTGAATCATGTTCGAGGTCCGACATCGTTTGAAGACTTACTCATTGTTAATGGGTTACATTGTCATACTTTCAAAGAAGCTGCCAAGGAAAGAGGCTTATTAGAATCAGATGATAGCATTTCAGAATGTTTACGTGAGGCCGTAATCTTCAAGATGCTTGTAGCTCTTCGAAGTCTGTTTGCGACAATCTTAGTTCATTGCAACCCAACAGATGTGAGACGACTATGGGAAACATATTATAACGATATGTCAGAAAACTTTCAAATGACCTATGACAAATCACCCTCGGCAAAACTCCATAGTACATTGCAAAGTGTAAATTCATATTTGGAGAGTATGGGACAGAGTGTTGCAAAATTTGATATGTCACAAATCCAACAAGAATTAAATAAGCATGACACACATGAATGCCGAGAAATAATCGAAGAAATGTTTGTGAAGGTGGCAATTGAAGATATGGATGCACAATCAAACTTGAATGAAGAATAAGCACAAGCTTTCAAGACTATCTTGGAAAGGGCCGACTCTGGAACACCAGGATTATTCTTTGTAGACGGACCAGGTGGAACTGGAAAAACATATCTATATCGCGCATTGCTGGCACATATTAGATCAAGAGGTATGATAGCATTGGCATCCGCCAGCAGCGGAGTAGCAACAACAATCTTATCGAGAGGCCGTATAGCTCACTCGCGATTTGAAATACCTCTACAAGCTAATGAATCAACAATGACAAATATGTCAAAACAAAGTGGCGGGGCTAAACTTATTAGACAAGCCAAACTAATAATATGGGACGAAGCGCCAATGACTAAGAGACACAATTGAAACTGTCGACAGAAGCTTTCGTGATGTAATGGACAAGAATGTACCTTTTGGGGGAAAAGTAATGGTCTTTGGAGGTGACTTTCAACAAGTGCTACCGGTGGATCCTAAATCAACGTGAGCAGAGACAGTGAATGCAAGTTTGGTGAGGTCATATTTGTGGCCTTTGATGGAAAAGATTCATTTAACGTCCAACATGAGAGCTAGAGCAGATCCAAATTTTAGTGCCTTCTTGTTTCGAGTTGGAAACGGGGAGGAAACCACAATATGGAATAATTTAATACTACTACCACAACAAATGGTGGTCCACCCAAGTGGTCAGGGTAAGCCAGAATAATGCTTGGTAAGGGAAATTTTTAAAGGCCTACAACAAAATTTCAGATCGGCAAAGTTTAATACTGAAAGGGAAATCTTAGCAAGACAAAATGAAGTTGTAGATAATATAAATGAAATGATCATCACTCAATTCCCGGGAGAAACCAGAACATATATCAGCTTTGACTCGGCAGAAGACAATACCAACAATAATTATCAAGAAGAATACCTGAATACATTAACTCTGAATGGTCTACCGCCACATAGGTACATCACTATACTCAATCTATCGTTAACATTTAAATTATTATATTAGTTTCAATCTGTGTACCATCTCAACAACACAGGTTTGGTAAAATACATAACATATTATGTATCTTAGAATTCAACATATTAGGTTAGTTTTGAAAGAGAATGTGCCTATCATGATGCTGAGGAATTTAAACCCATCAAATGGTTTATGCAATGGGACATGATTGATTTGTAGAGGTTTTGCCAACAATGTCATACATGCCGAAATAACGACAGGAGAATTTGCAACAAAACAAGTGTTCATACCAAGAATCCAATTATCACCACCTGAGAATGAAGGATATCCTTTTAAGTTTATTCGGAAGAAATTTCCAATACGTCTATGTTTTGCAATGACGATAAATAAGGCTCAAGGTCAAACAATTCCTAATGTTGGATTGTATCTTCCACAACATGTTTTCTCGCATGGGCAGCTATATGTAGCATTATCAAGAGGAATCTTAATGGCAACAGCGAAGGTATTGGTTCTGACTGAACAACCAGATATTAGGACAGGAACATATACAAGAAATATCGTATACAAGGAATTATTAGGTTAGACAAGTTCTCAATCTTTTTTACCGTAATAAATTTGCAACAAAACTAACACTTGACATAAAGCTAATCAAAATGTCTTGGATCATATTTATAAGTTCGTTTGTTAAAGAGAAGAGCCAACCATCAAAATGCAACTTATGAAGGAGATGCAACTATTGTGAAAACTTTTATATTGTTAATTAGCATACAAATGACTTTATACTCCTGGAAGGTATCCTATATGTTGGAACAATGTCATAACATGAAACAATGTGGCATCGTGCAATATTACATATCCGCTTATAGTTAGAGTTTTGGCACCAGTAAGTGCATCTAATACAAGCCAATTAGCTGGACTTAATGGAGTATTATTTATAAACAAATATTTAATAACTAAGAAACATCCATACATACAAATCCCTTAAGACATAGGCCATATGTTGAACACATAGACTGTGCAGGCTTTACTGCTTCATAATTGTAGGCATAAACTAATATTTAGTAACTGAGAAACATCCATACCAACAAATCCCTTAAGTGACATATTACATATATTGAACAAATGGAGATTTCATGATTTACTCATTCACAATTGTAGGCATCGCGAGACTAGGCAGCCACGTGCAACGCACGTGCGGTAATTCTGGTATATACATATATATATATATATATATATATGTGTATGTGTGTGTGTGTGTGTGTTATTTATGTAACTATATACTTCACTATGGTATTTGGTATTTTGGTATGTTATTTTTAAACATCAAATATGGTACCGAATACCAACAAAATTAAAATGTATACCATATACCATACCAAATACCATAATACTAAAACCACAGTATTAAAATTTTTGGTATGGTATGGTAATTCGGTATATTCCATACTATGTCCACCCCTATTAGAACAAGTCTTCTCATCATCAAGGACAATTTTTTTTTCGTTAGCCAGCCGCATAACTCTATCCTTGAAAACAAAACATTCTTCAAGTTAGTAACTCAGAAGTTTATGATAGTTGCAATAATTTGGGTCATAAGTTTTTCCAACTTCATCAGGGCACATTATCTCTGGAAACTCAACGAGCTTTAAATCAACAACTCATCAAAAATCTTTGAAACTTCAGAATCCAATAAGGGGTATTCCTTTTCTTACATCTCCCTTAGGGTCGACTTTTGATTTGAACGCTCTTGGAAAGTCGCTTTCATACTTTGCTTCTTGCTTTCCTTCGTAGTGAACTTTACAGGAGACACATTGACATTCATGAATTCTTTGTTGTGATTCTAGGCACAAATAAGCTCCATATCTTGGGTTCCTACTTGTCCATTCCTTTGCGAGGATCATGGACAAACATCGTATCTTTCCCAACAGAAGACATGCTCAATTCCATATCACGAGCACGAGTAGCTAGATCTTCAAAGGATTTTGGCTTTATACTTTGTAAGATGTAAAGAAGCTCCCAATGCATTCCTTGGATACACATTTCTATTGC